ACAGGGTCTTGGAATGAATCCCAGGGGTAAGCGAGTGACTGTGTTGTCACCCCCGCCCTGTTACCATGACTGGGTGCTCCGCAGTCCTGGGCTGCCTGTCACTGTGTGTCTGCCTCCAATGCTCTGCATTCTTAAGCAGGGCCCTTGCAGAGGGGATGATGCTTTCCATTTTGCAGCTGCAGAAACTGAAGCACAGAGACCTCTCCAAGGTCACACACCCGTAAACTAAGAGTAACAGAGCTGGATTCTAAACTGAGAGCCATGTGACCCACAAAACCTCTGCACACCCCATCACACCAGGCTTCACTCTTGCAACCCCAGAGGACCCTCACTTCCTAGGGATTCTGCTGAGAGCTCAGCACCACAGTGTGTGGTCTCAGGAAGGTCACCTGTCACTCTCTAGGACTTAGTTCTTTAAGAACAGGGGTGATGCTGGGGCTGACCTTGCTTCAGGCCTTAGGGATGGCCTGAAGCCACAGGCTGGGACCCGAGATCCCAGTCAGCCTGGGGCCGGGCAGCAGGCTGTCCTGGGCTCGTCTACACTGCAGGGTAGCAAGAGCTCCTAGCACTGTAAGGATGCTGCCTGGTCGTCCCACCATTTATCCTTCAGTCAGCAGATAGTCATCAAGAAAGTACTCCGTGCGGAACTCCGGGAACAGAGAGACGAAGGGACAGACACAGACGCTGCACTCACAGAGCTCCTGTCCTAGGGAGCATTTGCATCCAAGGGCTAATTTACTTAATTGATAAAAATCTGTTCAATGAGTGAACAAAATCATTCATCTCAGAAGCACTGCTCCTGCTGTGGGCTGGAAAACCCACCTGACCCAGGGCTGGCTCCCAGGACAGCAGCTTCCTGCCACACCAGCTTCCCTGTTGTGTGTCTGCCTGCTCCCGCCCACCCTGGCACCCTAGGAGTGCTTCAGGGCTCTGGACCTGCCCACCTTGGATACGTGCTCAGAGCAGCCTTGGGCTGTTTGGGTGATTGATGGCTTTCCCTCGCCTGACTCCTCTGAGAGCCCTCCAGGATGGTGCTTCCTCCAAAGGAATCCCGGCTCCTCTGGGAGGACATCCTGTAACACTTGGTAAACACTTGTTGCTGCAGCCTCCGTCATCCTGACTGTTGTCTTTCACAAACTGTGAGCCTGGTACCTCTTCACCAGACCCCAGGTCAGGCGTGCTGGGCTGCAACCACCGCTACAATAATTTCCTCCTCTCTCCTGGGGCCCAGAACTGTGCCTGCACCACTATTACCTGGAGAGAAGGTTCCAGAATTAAAGAGGTGGTATCCTCCAGCCCATGCTCAACCTGGCACCCACTGCACCCTCTGCCCACATCCTGTGATCCCTGTCCCCACCCAGCTTCTGTCTTGGGGCCTCCTACCAGCAGGAGCTACAGCACAGCCTCCTTGCAGATAGCTGGGCTTGGTGGTGCATATCTGTAATCCTAGCACTCTGGGAGGCTGAGGCAGGAGGATTGCAAATTAGTCCAGCTTGGGCAATTTAGTGAGACCCTGTCTCAAAATAAAAATAAAAAAGGACTGGGGATAGAGCTCAGTGTGACGGCCTTGGGTTTAACTCCCATAATTTCCCCTCAAAAAGTCACTCACCCACTGGCGGGAGAGTATCTGATCTCCCTTTCCCTTCGCTGAGGTGGGGGGGGGCAGGGCGGCGGCTGGGGGGTGGGCAGTGGCCAGGACCGGAGAGAGGTGCCTGCCACTAGTTGTCGTCCTGGCTCCGAGATCAGCCGTCCCCAGTGTCCCAGGCGGTGTGGCAAAGCAGTTTCTCACTCCCCAGGCTGACAGCAAGACCCCAGACACAGCCCCAGAGAAAAAGATGTAAATAAAACCAAAGAAACTAGCCTCGTCCTTGAAACTCCCGTCCCTCGGCCTGAAACAGCGATTTACGACTTGAATAATTGTTCCGTGCTGTACCCCGGAAGTGTGGGTCCGCGTGCCGATGATGCGTGGGTGCAGGTGTATTTCCCTAGTCGTAAAACCCTCAGTCCCAGCGAATAAATTTGAGGAGACAGTTTTACTGACAGATTTTTTTCTCCTTTGTGTAATAAAAAAAAAATGGAGTGAAATTTGGGATTGGGGCGATAAGGGCTGCGCACTTTAGAAGATAAAAGAGCCGAACCTGAAGGGAGGCGCGGCCGGGACACGCTGAGGTGGGCGCTGGCTTCCGGGACACGCTGAGGTGGCCGCTGGCTTCCGCGCCACCTCCCCTGCTCCTCCGCCAGGAGCCTGGGGTGGAGGGTGAGGTTGGGCACTGGTTCCCTCCCAGGTCTGGCAGGTCGGCCAGGAGCCAGAGCCCACTCAGCCCCTCCAGGCCTCAGTTTCTTCATCTACCAAATGGGAAAATTGTCTTCTATTCTGCTCCCTTCCCAGGGCCCACACTGCGCAGTGGGATTACACCGGGTTTCCTGAGCTTGGCTGCCGACCGCAGGGCCGGGCAGTTCTGTTGGAGGCTGTTGTCAGCAGCAGCCCCGGCCTCTGTTGGCAGATGCCAGGATCCCCCTCCCTGCCGTGATAACCAAAAATGTCTCCAGAACTTGTCTGATGTCCCTTGGTAGGAAAGGGGACAAAACTGTCCCCAGATGAAGTCCTGGCCTGAAATGTACTTCGTTGTCTCTAAAAGGCCAAATGAATGTCAGAGGAGCAGGGCATGGTGGCTCATGCCTGTATCCCAGCACTCTCGGAAGCTGAGGCAGGAGGACAGCAAATTGGGGCTCAGCCTGGGCAACTTAGTAAGACTCCACCTCAAAATAAAAACTAAAAAATGGGCTGAGGGTGTAGCTCAGGGTGAAGATGTTGGTTTGATTGCCAGTACTCCAAGAAACAAACAAACAAAAGAATGAGGAGAGCATAGGAAGTGGGTAGAGGACTGAGCAGGGAGGGAGCCCCAGGCCAGAAGTGGAGAGATGGGAGATGAGTGCTCTGGCCTCCTCCTCAGCAGACCCTGTGCCTGGCTGGAGGCAGTCAGCAAGGGCTCCCTTCGGGTTTTGCCAGACACAGACCAAGCCCGGGCTGTTTAGGGGTGGGGGCCTGGGGCAAGGGCAGTGTGGAGCCCAGGGAGAGGAGGTGTCAGCTTTCCTACTCCTGCTCTTCCGCTGGTTCTCCATTCTGTGCTCCTCATGCTCCCATGGAAGCCGGGCCTGGCTGCAGACAGGCGAGGGGAGGAGTCCTGTGTGGTCCCCTGCCTTCCACCCCTCAGAGCACAAGCCCAGTACACGAGTGAAAGTGGCCTGGGTGGAAGGGAGGGGCAGGCCCTTAGAGGGCAAAGGAGAACCCACCGTGGGACCCCTGCCTCCATGGATCTCCATCATCCTTCTAAGCTCCCCGATGAGGCAGGTGTCCCCCTGCTGCTCTAGGACGGGCACCAGCACAGATATGGCCCGTGCCTGGCACACAGCTGGTGCTCAATAAACGCTGGCAGGACTGCCCTGAACCTGCATTCCCTAAGCCGCCCAGGCACATGGAGTCCAAGTCTGCTGGGGGCAGATGTGTCAGAGGAGGCCAGCTCCCCAGCCAGAGGGCCGATCCCTGTGCCCAGGCAGCTCTGGGCATCCCCCAGCCCAGCCCTTCTGAGGAACAGGTTCCTGGCCACCAGCCTCCCAGCCCCCTCTCCCCCTGCCTCCACCTCCCAGCCACAGGGAGTTAATTCCACTTCTCTGGGCCCAGGCATGAGGCCTCCCCATCGCAGGCTGTTAGCTTGGAGCCCAGCTGAGTGGCGAGAGGCTGCAAGCTCTGGGTCTATAATAGAGTTGCTGAGACAAGCAGAAAGCCGGAGCCGAGTAAACAGATAAATAATTGAAACAGTTACAACACATACCTTGCTGCTTTGTGGAGTAACACTTTCATTAGTGGGAGGCAGCACAGGCATGGGGAGGCAGCCGGGCAGCCAGGAACCCGGATGCTTGGGTCTAGCTCTGAACAGCTGACCGGCTGGGCAAATCCCCCACCTCCCATCCCCCACCCACATCTTCCGGCCTCAGCTTCATTTTCAGCCCCTGGGTCCCCTTTCTCGAGCGAGCCTCCCTCTTGGCCTAGCCTGAGGGCAGCCACACAGCACTCAAAGCTGATCCCTCTCCCTTCCCGGCCCCTTCCCTCTAATCTTGCCACCCTCCTGGACTGCTCCTCCTAGAGCCTGAGGGGGCTTGTAAACACAATCTGTTCCTGGTCCTCCACCTCCTCGGTCCTCAGGGAAAGCTGCAGTCCTCTTTACTGCAGCCCTCTATGATCCCACACATCCTGCCTCTTGCCTCCACCCTCTTGTTCCTGTCCTTTCTGCTCAGGCACCTGACAGTAACTTCCACAAATGCTCACTGTTCTGTCCTGCCTCAGGGCCTTTGCTTCTGCTATCCTCTCTGCTTGGAAAGCACTCCCACCTTTTGTCAGGCTCCCTCTACTCTTCCTGCAAAAGCAACTTAAGCCTCACTTCGTCCAGGAATCCCTCAGCGATTAGCCTATCTCCCGAATGATGGTGGTGAATGATGGTGGTCACGGCTCTGGGCTCCCTTGCCATTCTGAGTCTAGCCTCTAAGAATTCATCAGACATTATAACAAATGAACTGGTTTGTCTGTCTATGAGACACCATGACTGCACCATGACTGTCCCCTGGTTCCCATGTCCTCCCCCTTCCCGTCCAGCCTGCTCCCTAGTTCCTTCCCTTTTTGGGCTGAGGTTCTGGCATCAGACTGTGACCTGCACTGCAAACCCTACTCTAATGGCCCTGATCCTGCCCAGGGCTCCCCAGGTGCTCTGGGTTGCTGGTCCTAAGTGGGATCTGCTCCTTCCTGGCTGCAGGGCCTGGAAGTCCCTTCCCTTCAGAGTCCCCTCCATTGATGTCACGCAGTGGCAGTGATGCTCTCATGGGAGGACTCTAGTGATGGTGGTGATGCCTCCCGCAGGGATGTCAGGAGCCCGGGGCTGGGCAGTGTCCTGGGGAAGGGACAGTGGGACAGCTGAGCTCACCTGCAGTGCCTGTGCTCTTGGCAGGTGACTGATGGCGGCACCATCAAGCAGAAGATCTTCACATTTGACGCCATGTTCTCCACCAACTACTCGCACATGGAGAACTACCGCCGGCGGGAGGACCTGGTGTACCAGTCCACCGTGAGGTGAGCACAGCAGCGTCGGGTGGGTGGCTGAGGGCACTCCTCAGGCAGGATGGCAAGGCAGGCTTCCTGACCCCATTTCCCAGGAAGACACTGAGGCCCAGAGAGAGTGAGCAGTGTGCCTAACCTCACATAGCCCGGAATGACAGACCAGTTTGGAAGCCCGGGCCACACACTCTACTGTCCCCCGAGGGCTCTGGGCCATACAGGCCCTAGCTTGGAAAGGAGAATGACCCCACACAACTTGACTGCCACAGATTCAAGCCAGTCAGGTCTCGTTCCAGGCTGCTGTTTTCTAGGGCTGTGGGTAGCCACAGCCCCACATCCTCCCAAAAGACTACAATCCTACCTCATTCCTGTGACCCTTTCTGCACATGGGTCCATCTTCCCGGAGGGCCTTTGTCCCTTCCGTCACCTGGTAAACTCCTCATCAGCCTTCAGAACCCCACACTCCAGGTCCACCAATGAGGCCTCTCCCTTGGACAGACTCTTATCCAGCAAAACTGAAGTCTCCAGGCTGGATAGCTACAGCTCCCCACTACCCACTCCTCCTCCAGGGGGCCTCTTATAGCACAGAGAGAGGCACTGCGCCCCTGTACTAGATGTGCACAATTTTTGCAAGCATGTGCGCACACATATACACACTCACACGCAGGCTCTTTCACGTGACACACCAAGTGTTTTGCCTGCTGCCTGGATGCAAAGTGGCAGCTTGCTCCAGGGCTACAGGAGGATCTGGCCGTGCTGGGCCCCACTGTGTCCCTGGTCACAGCCCTTGCAGCATACACTGTGGCAATGGCTTTGTGGGGTGCCCCAGGAGTGGTTGATGCTCCACCACTTAGACTCTGAGCCCCAAAGAGGGTTAGGCTCCTGTCCCCGTCATGGGGCCATGGGCTTCAGGAGGAACAATGTTCCCCCTCGCCTAGCAACCCCAGCTCTCAGCCTGGTATCCTGCACTCAGGTGCACAGTGAATATGCAAAATGAGTGGGTGACCCTGGAGACACTGTTTTGCCCTGGGGGGCAGCAGAATGATTGTGTGGCACCACAAGATGGCAAAGGGTGCATGTAGCCCCACAGCCCTGCATGGGAGCCTGCTTGGGCCAGGCCAGGAAGGCACCGTGGCCCGGCATGACCTTGTTGGTCCCCTCCTCTCCTTGGGGGCTGCAGAGCGGAGTAAACAGTTGCACAGATGCCCTCATCCATTCAGTTAGAATTTCTCCAGTACTTGCTTTCCAAAAGCAATTGGGACACCTTAAAATGCTAAAGCACACCAAAAACAAGCAGGTTACAATCAAGATGGGAAAAGACATAAAAACTCATTTTGGAGAAGAAAATATCTATTCTGGGAAGCAGATATAGTTTTGTAGCAAGTGAGCTCTCCAAGTGAGCTCTCCCATGGTCCCCATGCTTCCTGGAGCCCCAGCCCCTGTGTGGTACCTGTGACCTCCTCGGGGAGCCCCAGCCTGACCTGTCTGTCTGTCCAATCTGCCACCCCTTCCCCAGGCATGGCCTCGGTGGTTCCTTGGCTGTGTTGCCTAGGTGGAGAAGACAACCCAGAGACTGCCCAGAACCTCCCTGTGCCTGCTGGCTCCTGTTTCCTGCCTCATCCAAAGCGTGGCTGGGTGCGGGGAGACCTGGGTTCAAATCCAGACTCAGCCACCGCCTACCCCGTGAGCTTCTTCACATGTGGGGCAGGCTCCCTGGGAGTGACTTCCTTCAACTGCTATGGTATCTAAGGAAAAAGTACGTCCAGTGGCCCCCGCTCGAATGTTGGCTCTTCCCCCTCCTGGCACTGGGGAAATCTGGGACTGGCAGCTCTGTGACTGAGTGTCCTGGTCTCCAGAATTAGATGACAACAGCAAGTAGCTTGCTGCAGCCTCAGGAGGACCTGTTAAGTGAATTTGATAAGTGAATTTGCGTAAAGCACAGCGCAGAGCCCCTGAGCAGGGCCTGTTTGCTGTTATTGTCTCACACAACCCTTCCCTTCCACCATTAGACCAAAAAACTCACCTTTTTAAGAATCTCGTAAAGCCTCCCTGTACACTGCTTCTCTTTTGATTCTCACAAACAACCCCTTAAATCAAAGCAGGCGTTATTATTTTCTGTAGCCTAGAGGATGTTTTGGTTTTTGCTTTTTAAAGAAGGGATCAAAGCTCAACAAGGTAAAGGGACTCATCCGAGGGTCTTCCCTGGAATGACATGATCTGGGTCAGTCCTGAAGCCACTTCTTTCTACCCCGACACTATACTGACTTGTCTTACAGTTGAGGAAACTTAGGCCCAGAGAGGGTATGAGACCTACCCAAAGTCACACAGCCACCCTGACTTAGCTCAGTCTCTCTGACTTGTGGCTGGGGCTCTTTTCTTCCCCTCTTGGGGAGCTGGACAACCTGCTTCAGGGTAACCCAGTTACCCTGGTGATCTCCCAGGCAGACAGCACCGCAGAGATCCAAGGGGTCCCGTTGGTGGCACCCAGGGGTCCTGGAGAAGGATCCAACCTCTGAAGTCTAATCAGATCCCAATCTCATGCCACTGTGGGGGGAGGCTGTGGGCCCCAATAGGGCTGAGGGAGGAGGAACCTTCGCATTTACATATAGACGAAGATATTTACAAATTAGTGCATCTCCACAGAAAGCTGGCTCCACAGCTGTCTGAGGTGCTTCCTCTTCAGCTGGAGAAGCAAGCGGGAGAGAAAGGAGCTCAGATACTGAGACCTAAGAGTCTGCAGAGGAGCCACAGCCCCCAGGACTCCCTGAGCTTTTCCCTCTACTGGTGTGGCCCCCAGGGATGGAAGTCAGTGGTGACTGGTGGAGGCCTTGCTGATGCAGGGTGACCCAGCTGTGCAACCTCGGTGGTCACTGCCCCTGTGAGCCTCCAGTGGCCATCTACACCGGGCCTCCTGAGTTCCGAACCTCAGGACCCAGAAGGCCTGAGTTCGCATGGACCAGAAGGTCTTCTCTGAGGGTTTGTCCACTGCCCACTCACCAAAGCCTGGCCTGCTGCGAGGTGCCCAGGGGACCAGGGGACAGTGATGAATAGAAGGGGCCCCGTGTTTCAACCCCACAGGACATCAGCCTCCCGGGATGCCCTGTGAGTCAGTGCCCCTTCACCGCCCTGCCTGCACACACGGTGCCTCCTGTATCCTGAGCACTTTGCAGACCTTGTCCCACACCATCCACTCAGCACGTCACGAAGAGCACAGGACGGGTTTCTCTGGCCCAGGTGACGTACAGTCACGCCCTGGGCTGGGGCCACCCAGGCACACCTCACCCACTATGGTTGCCCACAAGCGCCCTCCCTCCGGATCGGCCTCCAGGAAGCCTGTCCTGTGGCAGGATGATGGCCCACCCTCCCTAGGCTGGAGGACGGGGCCAACCAGGCCTGATGCCCTCACAGTAGCCCCCCATCAAGGGGTGGAAGCCACGGTGGGGCCCCCTGCTGCCCCATGAACCAGCCCACTGAGGAGGGAACATTCAGGCCTCCATCCCTCCCCTACAGTCGCACCAGATGCTTGTCTCACAGTGATTCCTGTGTGTGATGGACAATGAGGGTAAAATGGTGAACACAACAGCATCATCAGAGCCACCTTTGGAAGGGTTATAGTGTAGTGAGAGAGGAGATACAGCCTACAAACGGGTCTAAAATCAAGGAGAAGAATGCTTACAGTGTGGTGCGCATGCACAGGAAGTCGCGTCATAGGACAGAAAAGAATGAGAATAACGGAGGTGGGGGAAGGACACAGCTTCTCACAGGACCTGGCATCTAGGCGGAGGTCGCAGTGTTAAAGAAGCCAACCAGGCAGGGCTGAGGGTAGGCAGCGCTTTCCAAAGAAAGGGCACAGCACATGCAAAGGTCCTGAGGTGAGAAGGAATTTGTTGTGAGCTGGGAGCTGCCACAGGGCCAGTGTGGCCAGAGAGCCAGAAACAAGGAAGCTAGTTGGCTTTTATCAGTGTCTGGAAGCCACTGAAGGCTCTGGCCTGCTGTGAATGCCTTTTGGAAAGTCTACCCTGAGTACTGAGTGAAGGATAGGTTGGAGGTGCCAAGAAGGGAGACAAAGCCATTCACAGAGGAGCCTGAGCTCTGATTTCCAAGTCCCACTGGAAATGTGCGTAGACCCTGAGAGCCAGAAACAGGTGGCTGGGTGGGGCGGGGACCTGGGCTTGGTGCAGAAGCAGGGGAGGGAGAAGTGGCTGGAGCCAGTCTGGGCATGGGGGAGGATGCCACGCCCTCCACTCCTACTACAGGCTTGGGTCTGCAGATCTGTGTCTGATGCTCGGCTATGGGACACAGAAGGCCCAGGAGATCTTAAAACCATCCCCTTCCCTTGATGTCCAAAAGCCTGCAAGTCCCTCCAGAGCCCAGGGCCCTCTCCCTTGCGCTCCCCCCCAGACCTACTGGCATTTAGAGAGGAACAATAAATATTGTGGAATGGAGAGAGGGGGGAGATAAAACATGGAGATAAATAAATAGCTAACAATCCAAGTAATAAAATGATTGCCATCCTAGGAAAGATTCAGATGCGGTGCTCCGATGAATCAGAGATGCAGGGACGGGGAAATCATGATGTAGGTGGCATTTGAAGTGGCTCTAGCCACAGAAGCAGGTTTTAGACAAAGAAGGCTGGGGGCAGGTGCTCCAAGTGGAGGATGCTGTGTGCCCAGAGGCACAGAGGTGGGAAGTGCCCAGAAGGGACAAGGCCACACCAGACGGGGCAGACAATGGCTCTGAGTAGAGGCGCTCTGGACTGTGCTCTGATGAACAATGGAGTTCCTTCTTAAATGAACACATTAACGGCTTAGTCCAGAGAGCAGAGGGATTTGTTTGCTTTTGAGAACTTCCTCCTTCTGAAATCTCATGTGTTAATGTGACACCCAAATGCTTTCTTTACTGTTGGTACAAAGAAAGACACCATCTGACCCACACTGCAGTGATAGTGCATCTGGAGCTGTCTCCTCCCTCTGCATACAATCATGATCCACACACCCTTCGCCTCCAAAATATAC